AGAGTCCTCTCTCTTGAATTTCTTGACACAACACATAAAATGAACAAATTGCAAAACAATCACTCTAAGGGATAGAAACTAAACAAAGGTGAAAAGTAATCTATAATAGAAAAATAACTTGGTGGATGGCACAACCCTGCTACCCATCCAACAGTTTAAGTATCCTCTGTCAGCCACAGCAAGCTTTATACTTTGTATGCCTGTAACATGTGTTAACTACACAGCAGTAAGGCTATGAAAAGTGGTGTACAGAAAAAAGGCACAGTTGTCAGTTTACACTAAAAAATATAAAGGAAACAAAACCCAAATTGAAAAAAAAAAACAACAGGCCAACATTTGCCTAGGAACATCATTTAAAAAGACAAATGAAAATCCAATAAGCACATGGAAATATGTCCAACACAGGTCATAAGCAAAGACGAAATGCTCTGAATGGTAAGATGTTCAAAGACGGGCTGCTACTGATCTCAGAAAGGTATGGAGAAGCCAAAACCACACATTCACAGTCCTGTACAGAGTAAAATCACCACAAATTCTCATGCCCTTGAGTAACAGAATTAAAATACACATCCACATAAAGATTTCTAAGTAAGTGTTTCCTAATGCCTTATTCATCAGAATAACAAACTCAAAAATGCTAACTACTGATCAGCAGGCACCTAGCAGGCAAGCTACATGCATCACAACACACAATACAGAGGCGCCCGCAACGTTGCGGTGTTCAGTGGAAGAACTCAGACAAGGGAAAGCACACTCTTCAAGCAATACTAGAGAACATAGAGCACCCGCACTCAGAGCGAGGCAGAACAGATCCCAGAGACAGTGGGAGGCCTCTGCACAACAGTGAAAGTATAGGTTCCCTGGGAGGGCACACTGTCGGCATCTGCTAAACTGTACAATAATGAGAGACACACTGTGGGGTGCAAGGGAAACGAATTAAAGTTACAAGGCTGAGGGTACAGCTCAAGGTGTGAGAGCTCCCCTCGCAAGCTTGAGGGTACAGGTTCCATCCTAGAATTACTGGAAACAACTCTTAGAAACAACAAGGCAGGGCTTAAAAACACAATCTACAGGTGGGATGGATCTAATTTAACAACAACAACAAAAAAAAAACTAGAACCATAACAGAAGGTAAAGTATTAAAACACAAAACTTAAAGCTCTAAGAAAAATATCTTTCAGGAAAAAAAAAAAAAGTCAAAGCAAACAAAGAAAAAACACACACAAAAAAGGATCTTCTGGTGGTATCACAGCAGAGTTCCTGAAATACTTAAATTCTTCCACTCAATAAGGACATCTATCCATAAGAAAAATCACCAGGAGCATCGAGGGCAGTGCGTACTCAACCTCCAGAAGCTAAGTTCAGCCCCTTCTTGCAGGAAATGAAAAAGAGAATTTAATGCATCTGCCAATCGACTACCAAGGGCTTACCACGGTCAGGAGCTGGAAGGACCCACTGTGGACAGGGCAGCCCTGAAGACAATGGTCACATGACCTAGGAAATTTAAAACAAAATCCTTCAGGCCCACAAATCTACTTTGTCTACAGTGCTGGGCATGGAACCCAGGGCTTGCACACGCTATTAAGCAAGCACCCTGGTAAGAGCATACCCGGGACCACAACTTCACTTCTGATGATATCTTTATGAATAACGCACAAGTAAAAAGTTGTTATCAACCACGCAGCATTTATGAAAACTGACTGACCCCAAGGATCTGCTGAGATCACAGAGTCCAGACACAGATGTGCTGTGCTTTCACTCGGGAAACATATGAGCTAAACAGTGAACCAAAGATACCCGCACCTAGCCAGCCAGCCTGCCCATATGTATGTTATGAAACATGTACAATTTTTTTTAAAGGTTCTGACACAAAAGCCTGCAGGACACTGAAAGAATCTATCAGCCCAGTTAAAAAACAAACAACAAACAAACAAACAAACACAAACTGTTGTATGACGTTTTCTTCTTTTGGCTTTTTGAGGGGTCCGCCACCCAGCTCCCAAATAAATCACACACACGGAGGCTTATTCTTAGTTATGAAAGCACAGCCTTAGCATGGTTTGTTTCTTGCCAGCTTTTCTTAAATTATCTGGACTACCTCTGACCTCTGAGCTTTTATCTTTCTCTATTTCTGTATACCTTTCTCTCCTTGTTACTGAAGACTTGCTGTATAGCTGGTGGCTGGCCTCTGATGTCCTCCTTGTTCTCCATCTATTTATCCTCCCTGCCTGTCAGCCCCGCCTGTCCTTGCTCCTGCCTCACTATTGGCCGTTCATCTCTTTATTAGGACCATCAGGTGCTTTAGACAGGCCCAGTAACACAGCTTCACAGAGTTAAACAGATGCAGCGTAAACTGAAGTCACGCACCTGAAAATAATATTCCCCAACAACAAACAATACCACCAAACACTGTGGTGATATTTCCTTGTATTTTAATAAATAAAACTTGCCTAAAGATCAGAGAGTAAAACTGCCACACTGGTCAGCCCAACAGACCAGGCAGTGGTGACACAAACCTTTAATCCCAGTGGCCACACTAATTTGCCACAGAAACTGGGCAGTAGTGGTGCACACCTTTAATCCCAGCACTACAGAGGAATAGAATAGGGGAGGAGAGAATCTCAGTCTCATTCTAAGGATTCCTAGAGGCAGGACCACCATTTCGGACTAAAGTAGAGGTAAGAGGCAGTGGCTGGCTGTCTTGCTTTTCTGACCTTCAGGCTGAACCCCGATATCTGTCTCTGGGTTTTACTAATCATGCTACAGAACAATCTGAGAGAAAATATATGAAGAATCCTCAAATTCCCACCAGGCACAGAGCCGAGGGCCACAGGCTTCACTATGTCCTTCACCGTGTAAATGCTACAGATTTGCTCACACCGCAACACATCAAGACATGTGCTGGACACATGCAGTCTACCACGCGTCTTCAACACGCAAAGGTGAGCACCAGCTCTGGGGTCTCACCTAGTATCTTCCCAAGGGTCCTCCTCCACCTTTGGTTCTGGTCCACAGAGCAGAACACCTAGCTCAGAGGAAGCTCCTCTATAGCAGCCTGGATCCTGTCCCAATTGAGGACTGTCACAGACCCCCAAATTCAACACAGACAGCAGAGGGCCCAGCCTTTCCCAGTAACCATCAAAAACGTAGTCCCTTCCTTAAATCCTCACCGTCTAGTACCCCAGTACCGTTTGCTTCGGTGGACCAACTTCCAGATCAGTTTCCGTTCACCACAACACAATGCTGAACAAGCATATTGCATTTGGGGGTTGTCTTAGTTTGGGTTTCTGCCGCAGTGACAAACACCATGCCCAAAGCAATGTGGGAAGGAAAGGGTTTACTTGGCTTACACTGCCACAGCACTGTTCATCGTGGAAGGAGTCAGGACAGGATCCCAAACAGGGCAGGAATCTGGAGGCAGGCGCTAATGCAGAGGCCATGGAGGAGTGCCGCTTACTGGCTTGCCCCTCATGGCTTGTTCAGACTGATTTCTTCTAGAACCCAGGACCACCAGCCCAGACATGTCACTACCTATAATGGGCTTGGGCCCTCCCCCATCAATCACTAATTAAGAAAATGCTCAAGAGGATTGCCTAAAGCCAGATCTGTATGGAGACATTTCTTTAATTGTGGTTCCCTCCTCTTGGATGACTTTAGCTTTTAACTGACAATAAAATTATCCAGCACAGGGACCTCAGAGCAAACTATGTCCCCGCTTGACCCCACTGCTTACTGAGGCCCCACACCTGGCTCTCAGTCACAGCCTTCTACAAGCCTGGCACCTGCTATTATCCGTGTAAATCCCCTCCAGGAGGTAGCCAGGGAGATGAGACCCTGGTCGGAGGCCCTGTGCAAGGACGCCGTGAAGCCTGCTTATGAGCAGCTGGCCTGCTGCTCAGACCAGAGCATGACACGGGCCCAGTGTGCTGGAGAAGAAACATGCTAGGGCTAGGTCACGTTCTTTGTATTTTTACAGAATGTAATTACAGAAAGTAATAATATGGTTAAGTTTTAAACTGATGTGGAAGGAAACCTTAGCAACAAGTAGAATTTTTCTAAGTCCAACTTAACTACCATCTATTTTACCTAGGAAACTCCAAACAGGGGTCACAGGACTTCACATACAAAATTCAAGTGCTAATAATCAGTGAACAAAGAACACATGAACACAAGACACGAAGTGGTGGGCTGAGGGCAATGGCATGCAGCTGAGGGCACGCGTGGCTGCATGCTTCCTGGGAAAGAGGTTGGCCACTTTTTGATTCTAGTTATTTAGTTGTTTGTTTGTCTAAAGTCTGTCAAGGCCGGTTATGGAGAAGTGTAAATTCTGCACGGTCTGCACAGCAGGGCTGTTAGGAAATCTACCCCCAGGGCATAAAATAATCAGGAACTTTAAAAAATTGTATTTGGCATGTTTCTCCTAACTCACATCAACTAAACTACTTCATAAAGCACCCCCTTTTCACATTAGCATTACAGTGCAAAACTAGTCCCTGGTACTTAAGTTATACAAGTAAAAGTAATTTGATGTGATTTCTGAAAACAGCAGGTAAGGCTGTTAAATATTTATTCCTGGACCTGATTTCTTAATCTTTCTTACTGATCTGATAATCAGATAATTTCAACTTGGACACACTTTTTTATTGAAAGAGAAAAAATGCACAGTCATTTTGAATCCAAAATGTCATTTTGAGAGACCAATACATCTGTGACACCTGGTGGGAAGTACACATGTAACTGTGCTTGTGGCTGTTCCCCTTACAGTACCAACCCAGGACAGTGACGTGTGAGCACACACGTGTGTACCATGGCGTACAAAACTGGTATGAGAACACTCAGTAACTAGTCCCACTTCAATTTGTCCTTCCTACAACAGAAGCTATATTCACACCAAGGAGACCACAGTACAATGAACCAGGGAACAGTAGAAGCTGACGTTTGACACCCAAGCCCTGTTACAGCTGTGCTCTTACAGTTGTGCCACACACACGGAAACTTACCTTATCACAAGGAAACAGTTAGATATGTTACCAACTGCAAAGTAGTCTGCTGCTGTCAAAATATCGATTCCATGAGGGAAAGTACCCTGAAAAAAGTAAAAGTGAAGAAAATAGAGAAGCTGCGAAATGGGACCTGAAATCACTGGTCTCACACACACACACAACAGAGCGGCTCAAGCTGAACCACGCGGCTCATGGGATGCCCCGCTGGTTGTCAGTGTTCATCCTGCCTGCCTGGTCAGACGCTGTATGGAGTACAACTCATTCTTCAAACTCACTGTTTCATCTTCAAATGCTATAAAAGTCCTTCCTTTAAAAAGACAGTGGGGGCCGGGCGGTGGTGGTGCATGCCTTTAATCCCAGCACTCGGGAGGTAGAAGCAGGCAGATCTCTGTGAGTCTGAGGCCAGCCTGGTCTACAAGAGCTAGTTCCAGGACAGACTCCAAAGCTACAGAGAAACCCTGCCTCGAAAAACCAATAAATAAATAAATAAACAAACAGACAGACAGACAGACAGACAAATAAACACGCACTGGGTCCCAACAGTGCTGAAGCGGTTACTCTTGGAGCTTGGTCCCCCTTTCTGGTCACAAAGACGACAGCATAGCCCTCAATTCCACAGCCTGTTGGAGCAGAAAGGCCAATGAAAGACAGGCAAGTCCTGCCTGTCTTTGAAGCGTGGACTAGGACCCACAATTTACTAGTTGCCATAAGGACGGATGAGGCTGATAGAAACAGCCACTTCCAGGGCTAATAGCCAACCTATAAGAGATTCAAGGAAAGCAGCCATCAGTCCCCCAAACTCAAAACCAAGAGGCCGGCCCCTCCATTCTCACCTACCAAGAATACGCCTAGTGGAACTCCAACCCAAAAATCATCACATTATTGGTATTCCCTCAATATTATCACTCGTGGTTAAAAAAGTAATACAAGCTAGAAACTAAATTAAAAAACTTTATTTTAAAAATGTAAATGTAGAAAGTTGTAGCCAAATGTAGAAAGCCTTACAGCTATGGGCCCAAAGGTGACACTCTGTTCCAAAAGCAGATGAGATTCCCAATCTATGCATAAAGCTGGCATGAGTAAAAGCCAGGAAAAGCGGCAGGTACCCACCACCAGCGCCTGCCTGCCACATCCCTGCATCTCACACAGGGAAAGGTGTCAGCCCTCTGAACAGTCAGCTCACTACAGTCTCAGACGTGCATCTACTAGCATATGCATGTGTGTGACCAGATCCAAAGAAACTGACACAAAATAAAGACATTGACAATTTGAGTGTGAATTTCTACATGGAATTCAGGCTATTTATAACCATGGAGACAGTATCGAAAACAAAAGTTTAGTCCTCAAGCTACATATAAATACCAATTAGTCTGAGGACATGGTAGAATGCATCGCCCATCTGGAATCCAGAAGGGCTAAAAACCCAGGCCTAAGTAAAACATGTGAGGTCTGTCAGCCTCCTGCTCCCTGGCCTCTGTCCTAGGGCTACTCCAAGCACAGACTGAGAGGAAAAGCCACCATTACCAGTCAGGGCTGGAAAACACAGCCAGCAGAGGATCATTAATACCTCACAACGTCACAAGCACTACCCAGCAAACAGCCCCCCTGAGAACTAGAGAGGCTGCCCCAACCTCGGCCTGTGAGGAGAGTGATGAACTGAGGTGTCTTAAGAACCAGCAAGTCATCCGGGGCTGAGCTGAAGTGGGGTGACTGGGGTGCGGCTCCTGGTTCTGCATGGTGCACACTCTGTGTGCTCTTATCATATTGCTTGATGGTACGAGAAATGTGTCTTTTCTATCAGAGTTAAATGAAGACAGAGGAAATTCCGTGTTTAAAGAAATTGGTAAAGACACCATCTGGCTAGAATTTCTCCAGATTAGCATGTTCTTAAAGTCAAGATTTCATCCTCCCTAGCAAAATGCTAGTCCATTTTGAATGAGCCAATCAGTCAAGGAATATGAGGCCAAGCCTAACCACTCGGTCTGTGAGGCACAGAGCCCCTTGCCTTAGGGTTAAAAATCAGAGCAGGACCCCTACTGGGTGTGCTTGCTTGCTGGGTTATGAGTGGCTTTGCAGTAGGTAGTGGCGGTATGTGCCTTTAACCCCAGCACTCCGGAGGCTGAGACAGGTGGATCTCTGTGAGTTTGAAGCCAGCCTGGAGCCTGGTCTATACAGAGCGAGTTCCAGGATGGTCAGGGCTACACAGAGAAACCCTGTCTCAAAAAAACAAAACAAAACAGAAAAATAAAGGTGGCTTTTGCACCTTTCTGCAGAAGTAAAACTTTCTGCTTTAAAAAAAAATGCTTTCGATTAGGTAATTATTTATCAAGTAGACCCCAGCGTCATACATAACAAGGAGAGAGAAGCCCACAGCCCAGGCAAAGGTATCACTGCAGGATGATTCACAAAAAGACAGCAGCACATGACTGAGCAGGCAAGTGGAGCCCAGATTTGACTGTGACCAAGATGGAGGAGAGGCAGCAGTACCCATATCACCCCAAAACAGAATAAGCAATAGGCTAAGGCTTGCCAATCATGTGGCTGTCCTCTCCTCCCCAGAAAGGGGTCTCAGCACCCTGCACCCCAGATGTCTCGCTTGAACACAGAAGTGTGGCATCTGGAAAAACCACCTGCTCAGAGCTGTGACTCAGGAACACTCCAAGCAGTCACACAGCTACTCAGCTAGACACGGCAGCTGCCCAAGGGATAACCCTAAAATGCAAAGATCCCCCAGGATACAGGAAGGGAATAGATCATACATACAACACACACACACGCACACACAGACACACAAGCACGCATGTGCGCACAGACAAGCACACACACACACACACCTCTACTTATTGGAGAGCCCACTCAGCTAGCCACTTAGGGGTCTAGGCCAGGATGGAGGCAAGCAAGATCTAATCAACTCTGATGTCAAGACCTACATCTCCAGCAATCCAACCCAAGAGGAGGAGTCACCCCCACCCCCACCCAGGTCACTGGGTAGTCCTGTTACTTCCTGAATTACTCCCAATATCCTCTACTACAAACATATGGTGGCTGACAAAATTCTTACCTCATCCCCCAAACCATGTATAGGTTCTCTGACCCAGAGCACATCCATCTTGGTCTGCACGTCTCTAACCCCATCATCCTTCACACACAGTCTATTCTGCACACCACTGCAGGGCTTGGCCATCCTTCTACCTTCCTCCCTTGTAACACTAAGAAGCACCCCAGCCACTTCTGCCATGAAACCCTAGAGCAATCATTCTTAGCGGGTTTCCTCAGGGGCTCTCCTTCCTGCTCAGACTCATCTCGGTGGCTGCCACTTTCCCCAGCCCCTAACCCAGTAGGATCTCAACCTTCTTAACACTGTAACCCTTTCATACATGTCGTGGTGACCCCCGACCATAAAATTATTTTTGTTGCTACTTCATGTATGCTACTGTAATGAATCGTAATGTAAATAGTCTGTTTTCTAATGGTCTTAGGTAAGCCCTGTGAAAGGGTTATTCCACAACTCCCAAGGGGTCACAACCCATAGGTTGAGAACCATTGCTCCAGCCCCTCTCCAGCCTCCTGCAAGACTGACCATACACTTCAGTGTGCCAGAATCTTATTCATGAATGAATCTAAACCCTACTTGCAAGGCCTGTGATGGGTGTCAAGAGTCAGGGGCATAGCTTAAGTAGCCCCAAGCACAGATACGACACTCGTGAGTATCAAGGGCAGTTGTAGGGTCAAGGCTTTCGGGAGGTGAGGCCAGAACTTCCTCCAAAGGACCCAGCCTCCATGTAAAACACTAGGGACGGGTCAAGGCCTACAGGATCCAAGACTCACTCACTAGGATAAGATGCTTGGTGCCTGAAACAGATACAGCCCACAGCAATATGTGAAGCAAGATCCTAACCTGCATAAAACACTCATACAGAGCCTCCCGAAGCTCCCTGGCCACATGACGGTGGGTCTGGGATCAGAACTGCCATGTTTATTAGCTTGCTCTGAGGTGAGGCACATTCATTACCCACACCCAATAGTACAAGAAGATATGAAACCAAAGTTGTCAAAATTCCCACCTCTGAGCCTACAGGAAGTTTCAGAAATAAAGATTTATAAAGTGGCCATACCTGTCTCCCCACGTTCTCCTGGAAGGCAGCCTAAGGAGCAAAAAGAACAAACAGAGCAGGTGAGTGAGGTTTGCTTCTGCTCAACATCAGAAGATAAATTCAAAACAAACACAGCTCAGTGTAAATGACCCATGGCTTTACTTTTTAAATAAAAGTCCTCTTTGTTAGCGGACCAAAGCCCTGAGGGTGGTTTGTCACTGTTTTTATGTCCTGGTCCTCTTTAAAACCACAGTTGAAGAATTCCATTTACAAAATCAAATATAATAAGAGATTGGCCTTTCCCTGGAAATACACTTTCACACTAACACCCCAACAAAGGTCCCAGAACACAACCCTGAGAACAAACTACACAGGTCAATAAGTAGAAGCCAACTCCTAAACATCGTTTGGAACTCTGCGATCACAACTCGCCACCATCCCCAACACCTCAGGGCTGCCTCCTAGAGGGCACACGCCTGACTCCAACCAGCTCTGAACTACCGGAGTCCTACATGCCAGGCACAGAATCGGGGCTGGAATAAAATTAAGTACTTCTAGGTAAACCTTGTACAGATGACTCCTCTTTCTCTGAAGACAACCTTTCCTGTCTCTCACACTGCGCTACCTAGGACTGTCTGAACAAAGTGACAATGAAACCTCATGCGACTTCCCCGAAGCATCCACAGCTGAGTTCCAACCAGGATTAGAGACAGGTGTGGACATGAGCTTCCTAGGGAGCTGGAGCAAAGCTACACACAACCATGTGACACGCACCATCCTGGCAAGCAGATGTGAGAACAGATATAAGGGGAGGGCAGTGGTGGCAGAAGAAACATCCCTTACCTAAGTAGACATTGCAACGTAGGGTAGGGGGTTGAGAGCAAGCAGAGATGTACAGAAAGAGAACAGAGTCAAGGGACCCCAGAATCTATCAACCCCACCGAACAGGCAACTACCAGGATAGAAATGTGGGACATCTCCAGAACAGAGCCTCATGGCAGGATGGAGACACTAGGTGACTGGCCCTCAGGTGGCTCTCACGCGCTTCTAAAATGGGCTAAAGGAGCTGCTTTTTGCTGCTGGTCTTTTTGTAACTTTTGCAAACTGCCTCCTTTAAGAGTTTGAGTGTTTTATCTGCCTGTACGTATGTGTATCACACACATACCGAGTGCCCAGGGAGGTCAGAAGTTGGACCCCTCAGAACTTTTAGGGACAGTTGTGAGCTACTGTGTGGGTGCTGAGAATCAAACCGGGGTTCTCTGGAAGAGCAGCTACTGCCCCAGCTCCTTGCAGTCAATTCTTTTTCCTGTATTGGGGGGGGGGGGGGTTGTTGTTTTTTCTTTTTGTTTTCTTGAGACAGGGTTTCTCTGTGTTGCCCTGTCTGCCCTGGAACTCACTCTGTAGACCAGGCTGGCCTTGAACTCAAAAAATCCACCTGCCTCTGCCTCCCGAGCGCTGGGATTAGAGGCGTGTACCACCACTACCAGGCAGTCAATTATTAAAAAAAAGAAAGAAATACAGAAAAAAAGGTGATGTAAAGAGACGCAACGTCACCTTAAATATAAGCAGGGACATCTCCAAACAGGGTAAGAACTAACTCAAGATTTAAGTTGAAACAATCTTGAAAATAAAAGGTTAGGGGATCACCCAACACAATATGAAGACAGACCACATGGACGTCACTTCAGAAAACACGCTCAACCCAGACAGAAAACAGAAGAAGGCTGGGAACAGGGGCAAGTGGCTCGCAGCCTTGCTACTGAACGCACACACCAAAGAAAGATACACAAGACAGAAACCTCACTCCAATAGCAAACTCCTGTCCACGGGACGCTACGAGAAGGGTGAAAACAACCACAGACTAGGGTTCTGCAACACACATCTCCAACAGAAAGGCCAAATACCTGGAATGCATAAAGAACTCTCAGTGAAGACTAACAATCCAATCAGACAATGAAAAGATACATTTTACTCAGGAGGACACAGAAAGCAAATGAGCACCCCAAACAGACTCAGTATCATCAGAGAAAGGGAAACTAAAACCACACACATATCAGCAAAAGAAAGAGCAGGAAGAAACCAGGCAACCACGCCACATCTCTGCAAAGATGAGGAGAACACATCAGAGTACAGTCGCCCTGGGGAACAGTTAGCAGTGTACTGGAAGATGGGACCCAGAAACTGTACTCTAGGCACACACCCTAAGAAACAGAAACTGTGTATACACACAATCTGTACGAAAGTGCTCATAATAATCCTGAGTCAGCAGCAACCCGGATGCCCTTTTACAGGTAAAGCCAAGACTCGGTTAGAGAACAAACCCACTTACAGTAGAAGGCGATGACCAGGAACTTCCCAACGTACTGGTCACACTCAGTGAGAAGACCAGTCCCAAAGGCTGCTACTTCAGCAACAGAACAGCATTACTAAGCTGGAAAAGTAGACTGATGATTGCTAGCAGTAAAGAGAGAAGCAGCCAAGTTTAAAAGGATCACGCAGGGACCTTTGTGGTGATGACTACCATGTGTCTTAACTGTAGGGGATTCACAGGTATGTATGAGATGCAGGCACACAGAGCTAACCACATACACAGGACACAGACCACTAAGAGTTCTGACTGCGACTACTGAGTTGGTGGACATAACCTATGATATTACCCAGTAGAGACCCAGGGAAAAGGGTAAGCAGACTTTAATGTTTCATTCCAATTGTTTCTTGTATTATTTTTTGCCTTTTAATTTTGATATTATTGAGATTCACGTAGAGTTATGAGAATACAGTAAATAAAATACTGGGTGAAAGTCTCTCTCGCCTCTCCCCTTCCATCGGCCCTCCTTTCTCTCTCCCTCTCCCCTTTCTCCCGACTCTCTCATCTCCACTCCTCATCCCAAGTTTCTCACAAGAGCCACGCCCACTGCCTGTCCTCAGGAGAGGAACAGGCCTCTTCTCAAAGTCAGCAGCACATCTAGCCTGCTAGACACTCTCTAGCATGCAAAACCTGGAGTAGTTAGCAGAGTGTAACTAATCCTTTCCACCAAGCCATGCCAGGACTCTGCTGTCTAGCCACTGCATGCTGACCACCAGAGAGAGCTGGCAACAGGAAGCTCTCATGAGGATCCAAACAAAGGCCCTGTTGCCTTAGAAGGACTGTGGCCGCCAGACAAAGGACCCAGGAAGAGGAGAGGGGTGACCAACAACAGCTGCAAGCCAAGGTCAGGGAACTGGCGACATCTGGCCACTTCGCTTCTCACACCTCCTGGATTCTGGTCAGGTAAACAGACATCTCACACACCCAGAAAGAGAAACCCTGGAAAGGCGTCAGCCAAGAGGCCGAAGCAGCACCCAGAGCAGCAGCTTCCTGGAAAGAAGTTCTTAGTGCACTCAGAACCTTTATGTCTTCAAATGGGCCTCAAATGGAGGCATCCCTCATTTTCCTGTGTTTAAATCCCACATCACTATATAAACAGCACCAGACTCAAAAGGAACACAAGGAACTTCTTGTTAGCTTAATAGGGTTTTAGCTTCAAGAAAAAACAAACAGATTTACAGAGTTTTTTTTCACCTTGTCAATCATCCTCATCAACTCAGATCACGAAACCCAACATGGACAAGTTCAACAGAAACACCTGGGTTAAAGTCCCAGGATCTGACCGGGGCCCAGTACCTCCATGTCCTAAGCACAGGACAGATGCTTCTTCTTTCTTAAAGCCAAAAGGGGGGAGGGGAGCTAACAGAAATGGACAGGAAAGACACTTCCTCACGCCAAAAACAGTCACCACAACAGGGGCCTGTAGGATGAGAACACTACACACAGTCGGGGAGCCGGCCTGCTCACGCATGAGCTCAGTTAGTTCAGGTGGGATGTCACTGGAGTGACGGAAACGCTTTGGACAGGAACACAAGAACTTGTGGTAAACGGATACAAGACTACAAACTCAGGTGGAGGGGAACCATGCAGCAGGTGTAGCTTTGGTGCTATCCAGTTTGGCCCCAAAATGTTTGCTCGGGTACAGACCTGTAAGTGACCGAATTGTATCAGCCAGATTTCAGACCATGACACTACCAGTAACTATCATACAGGCATTCGTGCCAACAGCAGAAGCAGAAGATGATGTCATCAACAGTTTCTACACAGATCTACAGAACAAGGTCAGCAGGGTGTGTAAAAATGACACTAGTCATTATGGGTGACTTCAGTACAAGAGTGGGATCCGAAGAAAGAACAGACTATGGTGTCACGGGAACGCAAGGATTCGGACAAAGGAACCAGCAGGGAACGACTGCCTGACCTCTGTTATGTAACTGATTTGGACACATCCAACCCAAAATTCAAGCAGGCCAAACCATCAAGATGCGGGAGGCAGGAATCCCCTGACAAACACACATACAATCAAACTACTACATTCTGGTCAGCAGAAAACTCTTATCTGGCATCTAAAACAGCCAATCATTTCCTTGTGCTGACTTAGGGTCAGATCACCAACTTCTATGGCCAACATTCATCTGAAACCTAGGAGAGGCAACGCCAGGCCAGGCAAGACAACCGGATGATTAAACATAAACAACTGATGGACCCTGTTGTGTGGAGAGAGTGTAAGAGAATCACTGAAAACAAGATGAGGGAAATCATTAAACAACTGTTTACAAACATAGAAAGTGAATGGGAGAAAATCAAAAGAGCTTTACAGGAGTCTTCAAGGAGATGCTTGGTTATGCAAAAAGGGCAACACCAGTAGAATGGCTTACTGCAGAGATGATCAACCTGGAGGAAGAAGGAAACTAAAGAGCAAACGAAGAGGGAGGCAACCTGCAGGCAGCAAAACACAACTACCTGTGCAGGGAGGTGAAAGAGGAGCAAAGAAGGTCAGAGAGCTGTGTAATCAAGGTGTATGCAAAGAGGTCAAAGAGGCGAGACTCCATACTAAACATCTTGTCTGTTAAGCTATCAGACGGATGACTGCCAGACGTGCTCCTCAGATTCAGGTGATTACAGATGGGCAAGGTCATTTATTAACAGAACCCGGGGAGTGAAGCAAAGATGGAGACAATACGTTGACACCCTGTACAATGACCCTAATGCAGCCAACGCAGACTACAATGAGAAACACTTCGGCAGCCACTTGAATACCAGAGATGATGAGAAAATATTAAATACTGACAGAAGCAAGATAGAGGAAGTTGTCAAGACAGCGAAACACAGGAGGGTTCCGGGAGTGGATGACATCATGGTGGAGGAGCTGGAGGCCGCTACAATAGGCTCAGGGGCTGAGGTACTTCTCAGACTCTTCAGAGAGACATGGGAACACGAAGTGATTCCCACGGAATGGAAGCACTCAGCCATAATTCCCAAACACAAGAAGGACAAGCTGGACTGTTCAAATTATAGGGGCATTAGTTTGTTGTGTCATAGCAGCAAGACCTTCTCCATTATCCTGCACAGGATCAAGGGCAGAACAGAGGAAATCCTAGCAGAGGCCCAGCAAGGATTCAGAGCTAACAGGAGCACAATTGATCAGATCTTCACTTTGAGGCAACTTTGAGAAAACTATGAAGAATTTGGAAAAGTCATGTCTGTTACAGCGACTTCAGGAAGACATTTGATAGCATTTGAAGTAAAGGACTTTGGTAAACAATGAGGTTCTATAGGTACCCAGAGAAAAATCTTAAGAATACTAGAAAATGCCTATAAAGATACCTTTGCATCAGTCAAAGTCTGTGGAGAACTAAGTGATCAGTTTAAGACAATCTGATCTTTAAGACAATCGTACGAGTGTTGCAGGGATGTGTCCTATTCCAACGCTCTTTAATATATTCCTGGAATTAATAATAGCATGAGCCCTGGAGGATGAGGAGATAGGTGTGCAGATAGGTGGTGTGCGAATCAATAACTAGCATTTCACCAATGATACAGCACTACTTGCTGAAAAGTCCAAACAAGCTGCAGGCCATGGTAAATAGAGTGAAGTCAGTGAAAGACTTGTATGAAAGTAAACATCTCGAAGACTGAGATACAACACGTGGGAAGGGTGCACAAGGATTTTAACATTGTAATAAAGAATCAGAACCTCAAGCAAACAGCTTTGTCCACCTGGGAGGAAACCTCAGTTCAAAGGAGGGAACTATTTTAGACATCAAGAGGCAGAGGTGAATAGGGATAGCGAGGGCTGCGTTCCAGGCACGAGGAAAGGTTTGGTCAGCAAGAGACATAACAACAACAAAATTACAAGTATATGAGGCGCTTGTCTTGAGTTGCCTTCTTTACAACTCTGAAACCTGGAAAATGAAACGCTCCTCAGAAAAGCGGCTGCATGTGTTTGAGATAGCATGCCTCAGGAAGATTCTAGACGTCACACCAAGAGATAGGTTGTGTAACGGTGACATTAAGAAACATCTCCATCTGCAGATGGAAGTAAACTACAGGATATGAGATACTGCGGCCATGCTATGAGAATGGATGACGGCAGATACCTGAAGACTGCACTGCTTGGAGGAGTGCACAGGATAAGGCGAAGAGGAAGGCCCAAAGAACGCTGTACAGTCAGCATAAAGGAAGACTGGAACCTTGGGTATCGCAATAACACAAGCATGTAGGACTTCCCAGGATAGAACAACTGGAGAACTGCCATAAACGGGCTGCCCATGCATGCTTGAGCATTGCCGGGACAGAATGATGAATGATGATTTCACCTCATCCCAGGTCACATAAAGTCACAGGGCTTTGATTTTATTACTGTTTCCCATAAATATGTCCTAGGTTATAGAAAACAATAAAGAAAACACAAAAATACATTAGTTCAGATTTAATATAGACTTTGCCTATCAGTTAACTATGAGAACAAGACCACTAAGACCTCCCAAGAAAGCACTGGGCCTACTAACTGCAGACAAAGTGGAGTCCCACTGGGCTGGTGACAGTTTTAAAGGACTCTGAGCAGGGTGCTTGCGTTCAGGCTGCTTCTTGGTGCAGATGCAGGTAGAGAGCCAACAGCAGCTATGAAAGATGACAGGCATCCTGAGCCAGCAAGACCCAAAGATCACCTGACCAGAATACCAGAAGCATGACCCCTTGGCTGAGATCCTATGACCAGTACTGAACAGCGAGGCCTTTGAAGCCCTCCATAGTAGGTCTTCACATATGAGTGCCCAATATGCTGGATACCATGCCAAACACATGGCTGGGGCAGCAATGGGTATACAGGAACTGGGTGCAGGGCCTGCAGGCATTTCTACTGCAGTGCAGCCAGAGGTCAGGTAGCAGACAGAAACTCCATCACTTGGGACAGTCAACTGAAGACAGGGACCACTGTGACAGAGAAGATTTTCAGTTGAAGCCTTTGATAACACCAAGTTACTTCACTTAACTGATATGGGATGCCCTTAACTGATGTATACGGGCTTTTATTGGATAATGAATAAAGCTGTTTCGGCCAATGACTTAGCAGAGTAGAGTCAGGCGGGAAATCCAAACAGAGCTATAGAGAGAATAGGTGCAGTCAAGGAGACGCCATGTAGCTGCTGAAGGAGAAGGGACACGTTGGAACCTTAGGAACTTTACCAGTAGGTTACAGCCTCTTGGCAATACACAGATTGATAGAAATGGGTTAATTTAAGATGTAAGAGCTAGGAATAAGCTAGAGTTGGCCAAACAGTGTTGTAAGTAATATAGTTTCTCTGTGATTATTCAGGTCTGGGTAGCCGGGAATGAAAGAGCAGTCTCCATTTACACTTAACAACACAGAAGACTTGACCTGAGAAACAAGGAAGGTGGGCAGCTCTGTAATAAGTAAAAACAAAAGCAAACAGTGGAAATTTTTTTAAAAAGAATGCCTAGATAGTATTCTTAAAATACTACCAAATAATTAAAATAGAAAAACATCAATTTTTTAAAAAACTATGGTACAAAATAAAAGAGAAATACTTCTGCACCCTCAATGTGTTAGTTCATCTTCAGTTAAACTGCAGACAAAAATACCTGAACGAAAGATTAATAACTCTTATGAACAGATTCAGAAATTATTTTCCTGAGAACACTAACAAACTGAGTCCAACATAAATAGGGCCTACAAGCGAGTGGAAATTACACTAGAAAGGAAAGGCTATTTCAAAGTCTGAAAAGGAACCACACAGTATACCACATAAAAGGACACAAGCTAAAGACCACTTGATTACATCAAAATCAAATACCTATTCATGATTTTAAAACATGAATAAAATGAAAGAAGCTACAGGAAAGAACTTCTCAGCCTGTTAAACAGGAAGCCCCTGCTGACATGCAGAGTCAGGTAAGTCTCCCTTTTCCTCAGTTCCATGACTTCAGGGGTCTCCTCTCCATCCTATTCTAAGGCCTGGCTCCTACCCTACAGAATACATCTGCAACACTGCCTACTCAATCACAGGCCTCCCACAGTATGAAGATCTCATTGGTACTAACAAATCCCACCCACATCTGCAACACTGCCTACTCAATCACAGGCCTCCCATAGTATG